GGGAGTGGTCGTGCTGGGGCGTGGTCGTGCTGGGGCGTGATCACAGTGCTGGGGAGTGGTCGTGCTGTTGTGGTGTGGAGGTCGTGCTGGAGTGTGGTCGTGCTGTGGTGAGGTCGTGCTGGGGTGTGGTCGTGCTGGGGTGTGGTCTTGCTGGGGTAGGGTCGTGCTGGGGTCGGGTCGTGCTGGGGTGTGGTCGTGCTGGGGTGTGGTCGTGCTGGGGTGTGGTCGTGCTGGGGTGTGGTCGTTCTTGGGGGGTGGTCGTGCTGGGGGGTGGTCGTGCTGGGGCGTGGTCGTGCTGGGGCGTGGTCGTGCTGGGGCGTGGTCGTGCTGGGGTGGGGTCGTGCTGGGGTGTTGGGTCGTGCTGGGGTGTGGTCGTGCTGGGGGGTGGTCGTGCTGGGGGGGTGGTCGTGCTGGGAGGGGGTCGTGCTGGGGAGTGGTCGTGCTGGGGCGTGGTCGTGCTGGGGCGTGATCGTGCTGGGGAGTGGTCGTGCTGTGGTGAGGTCGTGCTGGGGTGTGGTCGTGCTGGGGTGTGGTCTTGCTGGGGTGGGGCCGTCCTGGGGTGGGGTCGTGCTGGGGTGGGGTCCTGCTGGGGTGTGGTCGTGCTGGGGTGTGGTCGTGCTTGTGTGTGGTTCGTGCTGGGGGTGTGGGTCGTTGTGTGGTGTGATCGTGCTGGGGTGTGGTCGTGCTAGGGTGGGGTCGTGCTGTTGGTGGGGTCGTGCTGGGGTGGGGGTGCGACTGGGTGTGGTCGTGCTGGGGTGTGTTCGTGCTGGGGTGTGGTCGTGCTGGGGAGTGGTCGTGCTGGGGGGTGGTCGTGCTGGGGCGTGGTCGTGCTGGGGCGTGGTCGTGCTGGGGCGTGGTCGTGCTGGGGTGTGGTCGTGCTGTGGTGAGGTCGTGCTGGGGTGTGGTCGTGCTGGGGTGTGGTCTTGCTGGGGTGGGGTCGTGCTGGGGTGGGGTCCTGCTGGGGTGTGGTCGTGCTGGGGTGTGGTCGTGCTGGGGTGGGGTCGTGCTGGGGTGGGGTCGTGCTGGTGTGGTCGTTCTGGGGTGTGATCGTGCTGGGGTGTGGTCGTGCCAGGGTGGGGTCGTGCTGGGGTGGGGTCGTGCTGGGGTGTGGTCGTGCTGGGGAGTGGTCGTGCTGGGGTGTGGTCGTGCTGGGGGGTGGTCGTGCTGGGGGGTGGTCGTGCTGGGGGGGTGGTCGTGCTGGGAGGTGGTCCTCAGAATTCAGGTCCCCAGGAGATGACAATCTATAACACAAAACAAGCGTTTCGCTCGAGACATCCTCACCATTTTCTGAAAAACAAGCGTTTCGCTCGAGACATCCTCAAATTTTAATTCGCGGGCGCTCAAAAACAAGCGTTTCGCTCGAGACATCCTCTAATTTTAATTTTCGGGCTCGTTATTTATCAGGGAAAAATTCGCCGGCCTCCTTCGACCTCGTTATTTATCAGGGAAAAAATTCGCCGGCCTCCTTCAAGTTGGCACCGGGGGATTAGGTTTACCAACTAAAAGAGAACCCTGGGCTCGAGCCCTTTCCGGGAACAAGCGTTTCGCTCGAGACATCCTCAAATTTTAATCTGCCGGCCTCCTTCGACCTCGATATTTATCAGGGAAAAAATCCGCCGGCCTCCTTCAAGTTGGCACCGGGGGACAGGTTTACCAACTAAAAGAGAACCCTGGGCCGGCGCCCTTTCCGGGAACATGATGGACCCACGAACCCGGAAAGGGATATAGACATGTGGAGCATGGACACGTTTTCACGATACCCAACTGGGCAACACCTCACGAAACATCCACGAGACACTTCACGAAACATCCCACGAGACACCTCACGAAACATTCCACGAGACACCTCACGAAACATTCCACGAGACACCCCGCGAAACATTCCACGAGACACCCCACGAAACATTCCACGACGACAGGCAACCACTCCACCAAGGCGGTGTGGTCGTGCTGGGGAGTGGTCGTGCTGGGGTGTGGTCGTGCTGGGGGGTGGTCGTGCTGGGGGGTGGTCGTGCTGGGGGGGTGGTCGTGCTGGGGGGTGGTCGTGCTGGGGCGTGGTCGTGCTGGGGCGTGGTCGTGCTGGGGCGTGGTCGTGCTGGGGCGTGGTCGTGCTGGGGCGTGGTCGTGCTGGGGTGTGGTCGTGCTGTGGTAAGGTCGTGATGGGGTGCGGTCGTGCTGGGGTGTGGTCTTGCTGGGGTGGGGTCGTGCTGGGGTGTGATCGTGCTGGGGTGGGGTCGTGCTGGGGTGTGGTCGTGCTGGGGTGTGTTCGTGCTAGGGTGGGGTCGTGCTGGGGTGGGGTCGTGCTGGGGAGTGGTCGTGCTGGGGTGTGGTCGTGCTGGGGTGTGGTCATGCTGGGGCGTGGTCGTGCTGGGGTGGGGTCGTGCTGGGGTGGGGTCGTGCTGGGGTGGGTTCGTGCTGGGGTGCTCCGCACCCTGTGATTTATCGATCGGGTCGTGCTGGGGTGTGGTCGTGCTGGGGTGTGGTCGTGCTGGGGTGTGTCGTGCTGGGGTGTGGTCGTGCTGGGGTGTGGTCGTGCTGGGGAGTGGTCGTGCTGGGGTGTGGTCGTGCTGGGGTGTGGTCGTGCTGGGGAGTGGTCGTGCTGGGGGGGTGGTCGTGCTGGGGGGTGGTCGTGCTGAGGCGTGTTCGTGCTGGGGCGTGGTCGTGCTGAGGCGTGGTCGTGCTGGGGTGTGGTCGTGCTGTGGTGAGGTCGTGCTGGGGTGTGGTCGTGCTGGGGTGTGTCTTGCTGGGGTAGGGTCGTGCTGGGGTCGGGTCGTGCTGGGGTGTGGTCGTGCTGGGGTATGGTCGTGCTGGGGTGGGGTCGTGCTGGGGTGGGGTCGTGCTGGGGTCTGGTCGTGCTGGGGTGTGGTCGTGCTGGGGTATGGTCGTGCTAGGGTGGGGTCGTGCATTTCGCTCGAGACATCCTGCCAAAATTCCAGGGAATCGTACAAAAACAAACGAATTAGTCGAGACATCATCGAAATTCCTTCGCGCGGGGCGCTTTTCCGCGTCGCGGTCGGCTCTGCAAAACAAGCGTTTCGCTCGAGACATCCTCGGCAAACTCTGCGGAGCAAGCGTTTCGCTCGAGACATCCTCAACACACGAAAAAGTGTCCCGCACCCTGTGATTTTTCGATCGGGATTTCAAAAACAAGCGTTTCGCTCGAGACATCCTCAAATTTTAATTCGCCGGCCTCCTTCGACCTCGTTATTTATCAGGGAATAAATTCGCCGGCCTCCCTCAAGTTGGCACCGGGGGACAGGTTTACCAACTAAAAG